GCTGATGTCCTGATCGTCACGCAGACGCGAGGAGAATAGCGGTTGTGTCGGTACGTTTAGTTCCAGCAAATCCTTCGGTTCATTGGAGTCGAGTGAGGGCAGGGGCTGTTCCACAAACCAGGCTCACAGTAAAAGCCAGGCTTACTTTGGTTAGTCAGGGTTATTAATGGCAGATTCGGATTGATAAATCAAATTTAGGATTGTTTAAACTCGGTTACTCAACTGATGTTGGGAAACGAGCCTGATCAGGCGCAGGTTCACTCTCAGGCTTAAGTTCAGGCTTAATCAAGGTCATGTGAACATCCACCTGCCCTAACCGGGGCCATTCTAGTTCACTTGATGATCATTCACTTTACATTCATTCTCCTTCAGCTTAGTCCCTTTATTAATCAGGGGTCGCCACAGTGGAATGAACCGCCAACTTATCCAGCATATGTTTTACACAGCAGATGCCTTTCCAGCTGCAACCCATCACTGGGGAACACCCATACACACTCATACACTACGGGCAGTGTAGTTGATCAGTTCCCCTATAGCGCATGTGTTTGGACTGTGGGGGAAACCGGAGCACCCGGAGGAAACCCACACCAACACGGGGAGAACATGCAAACTCCACACAGAAACACCAACCGACCCAGCCGAGACTCAAACCAGAGACCTTCTTCTTTAATCTGAATGTGCTGACGATAAGCACATGTTCAGTGTTAACGGGAGTCTGCAATGCACACAAGAACAATCTGAATGTATTTTCACAAGTATGAGCGTTGTTGTCCTGAATAATGGCCTGTGTTTAAAATCCTCCGTTTGCTGTCCGCCTCCTCTCCTGCTCTGTTGTGACCTGTAGGTTTTTATTATGTTTCTTATGTTTGATCTGTAAACACTAACGCGGCTCGCTCCCTGTGAACATCGCTGTGTCTTTAGCACACAACATAACTGATGCAGCCTTGCCCACCCTCAGGGTTTCAGGACAGTAGCGAGCACGAGCAGTATTCAGATTATTTCAGCTGGACTAAGATTAGTCGGGTCACAGGATCTTCATCTTGCTGATATTGTAGACACAACACAGCATAATGACGAGCACGACTAGATCAGCTCAGATCCTGACCATGACTCAGTGTTAAATGCTGATCTAATGCTAATGCTAATGTGAGTGAGAGTCAGTCGACCACAGTTCTTCATGTAGAATCAGGAATCTGACACATGTTTTGTTTTTACAAATACAGAAAGATTTGAGCAGTGAGTCAACTTCAATCAGAAAATGTGGAACAGCAGGGACTGAAGCTGTGCACTTTTGCTTACGTATAAAAAAATCTCCAAACAAGATAAAAAGTTGAAGATAAATTCTTTAGATTTATGTGAAGATTCTGAGAAATAACAAATAACTTCTTTTAAACTAAGAGATTGTGCAAAGGTAGGAGAGGAGTTTAAATAACGATGAGATCAGACCAAAATTTCTGAACAAATTCACACGTACAAAATAAATGTATTAAAGTTTCATCATCCTCACCACAAAATGCACAACTACTCGGAAAATCAACATATCTGGAAACAAATGAGTTAGCCGGATATATTTTATGCAATATTTTAAAGTGGATTTCTTTAGTTTTATTAGGAAGGAAGTATTTATGAGGCAACAACCAAGCTAATCTCCAATCTATATTATTAACTAATGCAGCCCAATGAAATTTGCCTCGTGGAACAATACGATTTCTCTGCTGAAGAATTAGATGAATATGCTTATTATTGCATTTCTTATCATGAAAGTCAAAGCCTTCCAGTACTAATGCTGATTCTTTCATATTTGCTGTATTGTATTGTATATGAGTTTTGAGCAGATGCATTAATCCTGTAGGGATAGCTCTAAGAACAGTTGTATATTCTCTAAAGGGAATAGGAAAGTCATGAACAGTCATAAAGCGCTCATAAGACAGTAAATTACCAAAATCATCAAATAAAGAAAGTAAATAAATTACAACCTTTTTTTATTTTATTTTTTATTTTATTAACAAGTACATAACTATACAATACTATACAGAAAAAAATACATGCCACAGTGTATATTGATATATATAAAATAAAAAAATAAATAAAAAACATTCAGTAAATGAAAATCTTATATTCCTTAAAAATATTACAAGTCTTCTTTGCTTTGTTATTAACAATGTTTTCCAAACTTGTGCAGTAGTCCTTAGTCTCTTGAAGAAAGTGAACAAAATTTGGCTTTGATCCAGTCCATTTTTTTTATGTATATGAAACTTTCCCAAAATAATAAAAAGTTGTACCAGAAAGGTAATTTTTTTGCATGTATTAAAATAATAAATGCAAATATCAAATTTTTTTAACTTAAACACAATATTTGTTTTCCTTCTTAGAAAATTTTCCACATCCACCCAGAAAATCCTTGTATATATACAATTACAAAACATGTGGACAATAGATTCCTTTTCCATACAACAAAAATCACAGAAATAATCGATATCCAAATTAAATCTCTCCAAAACCTCTTTAACTGGATATATACTAAAATAAATTACAACCTGAGAAGATGTGTGGAGTCTGTGTGACGTCATTCTAGTTGACCCAATAGCTGATGGTGGGCGGAGTTATGCAGATGATGCTGGCGGAGTTATGCAGATGATGATGCTGGCTGTGTGTCTAATATTTCAGACTGCTGTGGTGTACTGTGTGCATCATTTAAGTTATATGTCATGGATGAATTATACAGAGCTCATCTTTACATCAAATCTGGAGCTTATCTTTTCTCCTAGCCCTTGTTGTGAGCTGTCTGGTGTATATTAGTGCTTGTGCTGGACGCCATGTGAGAATCCAGCGTTCGCGTTTGCGCATGAGCTTCTGTTCATGGTGAATATGACAGCAGTGTTTGAGGGTCACTCAGATAATCGCGGGGCTCCGGGCGACTGACAATAGTACTTATAGGACGGGCCAATGCAGGGATCTGGGTCAGCTCTTGGGCGCTGGTCGTGTGTGGGTCAGACAGGTGTTCCGCCGCTGGAGATCAGTGTTTCCTCCTCTGGTGCTGAATCTGGCTGCAGTCTCTGATTAGAAAAAAACATTAACTTGAATAAATCCCCTGTGTGCTGCTGACATATTCCCGCAAGATGAGTTCTGATCAGCCACATCAGCTCTTCATACGCTTTAGCTGTTAAACTGTTGTGATGAACTGATGTGGATCTGGTTCTGGGGTTGTGCTGAGCTGACTTTCATATTTAGGGCTGTTACATATCAACATGTTCCCCCGTCACCCTCCTCTGGACCGCAGTTCTGGCAGAATGGACTGCTCATCACAGTGGATCACCCAGATGAAGAGCCTCATCTGCACTTCTGTAGTTCGCGCACACACTCAGCTGTCAGCTGGGGTTGATCGACTGCGCATGCGCCACAGCACGAGCATGCGCTCAAGGCTTTTTGAGAAACTTGCGGGCAGCTGAGAGAGTCGCAGTCGAGCTTCAGGTTGTTTGTTTTTCCCGTCCAGAGACTGAAGAATAGCGAACGGTGAGCGGCACCAATATACTGACACACACACACACACACACACACACACACACACACACACACACGGGGATATTAATCACTGACGCAGGTAATGTGCGCACACTGAGCTCGGGTCTGCTGTTCTGGAGCTCCAGCCCTCAGTGTGTGTTCACTGACAGATGCAGAAGTTGGTTCTATCGCTTGTGTGTGAGTGTGTGTGTGTGTGTGTGTGTGTGTGTGTGTGTGTGTGTGTGTGTGTGTGTGTGTGTGTGTGTGTGTGTGTGTGTGTGTGTGTGTGTGTGTGTATGTGTGTGTGTGCTGCTCGTGCTGATGTTAAGGGTCAGACAGCTGATCGTTACTAGGTGAAAGTTCACCGACTCGCCTCCGCGCTGCACTGAGCGCCTTCATCACCGTCAGATAACAGTGACCGACTGCGCTAAAGCTGAACTATGAGCCTATGTATAAATCACCTGCTGTGTTTAATCCACCTGTGTTTAACACACAACACGGCTGATGGAAACGCCAAGATGCACATCATCCTTAAAAATGCTGCGCATAACAGATGAGGAGGAACTGCATATCGGATAAGAAGAGATGCGCATACACTGATGGAAACACTTTTACTGAACACACTCCAGTGTGTGTGTTAATAAAGGTGACGTGATGTTATGAGAGTTCATGTGATGATGACAGTGTGTGTGAATGGGTAATCCAGCAGGCGGAGCACACTGCAGCACACCTGACATGTTGATTTGCTCACTCTATAAAGCCTGCAGCGCATGCAGAGGCCACATGAGGGCGCACTAACACAGCTCTAACTACTCAAACGATGATTTAACTAATTATAACTACTCAAACGATGATTATTAGTCATTTTTTCTGTAGTCTTCTTAAACAAGCTAATTAAAAAAACAAAACTCTAAATAATCTCCATGTTCATGTATTTGACAAGTCACTCTGTGTTGTAGGACAGCACACTTCTGTTACTGGCGTACATCAGGGCACAGTTCAGCAGCTGGACACGTCAGCAGATGCTAATCAAGTCTTTCTTGGCCTCCGCTAATTATTATAATGATGTCCGCATGATCTTTAACAAACACAGGAGATTTCCTCAGTGTTTGCTGTAAAACACAGATAATTCTCCTGGACTCGTGATAACTCTCATTTCTTACAGTTTGTCTTGAATTAAAGCAGTTTTAAATAAAGATAAGCAGGTTTAAGGTCAGTGCATCAGCCTCCTTAACTAATATTCACTGTGTATTGTTAAATGTCTACAGGACAGAGCAGTTACACAACAACTTGACTAATTATTCCAACTCTCCTAGTTAACATAACCTGGTGAAGTCTTTAGATGACACTTCAGTCTGAATCCCACTGTCTTGCTCAATAACTAAAGTGACTGTCCCCATGAGGGACATAAACAGTAGACATTAGTCTTAGCTGGTCAGGCTGGGAGATGACCAGCTAAAACCAGCTTGACCAGCCTATCCAAGCTGGGAGTCCAGCC